AAAAAAAAAAAAAAAAAAAAAAAAAAAAAAAAAAAACTTAAAGCAAAAAGACGATGATCATTCGGGATTATCATTTTTCGTCTTTCCATCATCATCTGGAGGCAGAGATACAAACTGGAGGATACTTTGGACCTGAGCAGCCTCAATCCGGAAGCGTTTGGCAATTTGATCGACATTCATAGGGCCATTGTGCTCGTCCGATTTCCCTTGATACAAAAGGATTATTTGGCGTATTTGTGCCACATTTAGGGTCCCGGGGGGTGCAGGCCTGTCCTCGTATCTTCCAGAATCTGGTGTAGTGTTCCTTAGTTTCGGCAATGGCCGCTTGTACTTCTCCACGACAGAAGCCTGTTAAGATAAAAATTTCAAAAAGTTGGCAATAGTCTAACAACAATGCTTGAGTTACCTGCCAAAGTTTAGCCAAAAAAAAAAGAAAAGAAAAGAACAGAACATAAAAGAAAAAAACGAAAAACAATCCCTTAAAGTAGTTTTACAAACACCAGATGGACTAATAAAAGACTTTCTTAAAACGTCACACTTGATAGGGCCACCTTCACACATCTTTAGGGGATCGCCTCATTCATTAGGTGCCTAAACCAATTATGACTTGAGTACAATTTTAACCTTTTTCCCTGTACATTCATAATATAAGTCGACTAGACCCGTAGCAAATGTCTTCCAACACCACCACTATACACTTGAACTATGAATGTGGATTGTTTAGTTTGTTACTTTGTTATTGTTCTTCAGTTCCAGATAAAGTTGAGGATGACATTTCTGGTCCGAATATGAAATCATATTTTATTTTTTTAAAGAAATATAGCACGAGTAAAAGCTGTAATTAGGAGTTTGGGAACCTGACCTCTCCCATTTCGAGTTTCCCTCCAGGCTTTGTTCGTATTCTTCCCAGCATTTGGCTAAGCATAGCATCATACTGCACGTCACGATTCTCGAGAAAATTTTCAGGATTCACATTCGGTCCTTCCTCTTAAGACACAGACAAAACATAATTATATTCAAACTTTGGCAAAATGTTTCCGACAAAAATCGAAAATACATGTTTCAATATAATAGTAACAAAAGTCAAATAGCAATTCATATTATAAGACTTAGACTTGTGTGGGATTAAACCTATATTTCAATCCAGGAACTTTTACGAACACTAATAATGACCATCCAATTTGTTAAACTCAACTATTTTTGTGAGGCGGCGTAACTTGTTAGGCGGGTCGTCCTGTCATAGCTTTTAAACAAAAATGAATACTTATGATATGTGAAATGTCATACTCTTTACATCTATCTTACGACAAAAACATCAAGATACTATGACGGTTACCTAACCAAAATTTCATGCCTCTATAGTCAATCACTACAGAGTCCCCCCAGTCTCTAGTTACATGCTGCTATAGCATTTCCCTTCCTTCAAGAGAAAGAGAATGTTAAAACTCTGGAAATCGATCCGTCTCGATGCATTACTCAGAACTATGTGTAATAACAAAACCAATACTGCATGAAATTAGAATTTCACAAAGTCAGTTTTGGTTGGTCTGACCCCTCATACATTTTTAACAAAACAATACATACTTTTTTCAGCGCCTCATTGCAAAAATGCTCCCATGTATACTGTTAGCAGTTAAATAATAAGAAGTACACACAACAGCTTTCTCTTGCTGATAAAGCTTACTACATTGCACTACACAAATCATCGAATCAAAGGTTCAAAACCCACTAATCAGCAACAAATACCACACGTAATCAACTTGCTCAGACAAAATCAACTTTTAAAAAAAAATATAGATTAGGGAAAATCCCATCACATGAATGCTTCAGAAATTGAATGAACACAAAAACCAAGTTCATTAACAAATTACCAAAGCCAGCAGTGAGGTCATCAGAGGGAATCTTGTCGGCCGGAGCAGCCGGCGGCGGAGGAGTCGGAGGCTGCGAAGACGGCCTCCGGTCGACGGGCTTCGCGATCTGCGACGTCGTTTCGACTCTTGAGCCGCCGGCCCTTCCAGCTGCTCTACGTAATGCCTGACCCATCCCGATCAAGAATCAGACGCGCCGCCCTTTTTTATCTCTAAATTGCTCGACTTTTGAACAGAAAATGAATCGGAAACAAATTTCACGTTGAAATTTGAAGAATGCTCTTAATTTTGGGTAAATATTTGGTGATTTTGAAGGTATTGTTCTGAAGATGTGAATGCTGAGAAGTGTTCGACTTTTGGTAGCTGGAGTGAAAATGGAGCTTCCACGTATATGGCTTCTTTAATGGGCCTTTTGCTAGCTGATGGGATATTTGGGCCTCAGCTCAATGAGGTGCAATTAGAAGGGCTAAATGGGATGATCGAGTGTACGTAGACATGACCACGGGCCGCACGGTCGGCCTACCCGGCCTGGTCAAACCACTGACCACGTGTTCGGGATTGGACAGGATTTTGGCAGACCATTTCAGGGTCATTCATTTCAGAACCCTAGCCCGGCAGGTTGGGTGGGGCCTTTTTTTTTTCAATTTTTCTTATAACATTCTATATTTCTTTCATAAAAATGACGACCCGGCCCGATTGACTATGCCATTGACTCGGCACGAGCATGGTCTGTGCGGGGTCCGAGTCCTTATTTTTTAGCTCGGAGGCATGCGGGAGCGGGCCAGACACGTGTTTTGGTCATGTCTAAGTGTATGCCTATGAGTAGTCGTAAACCAGTGAAGTTCCAACTACTAATCTTTGAACTTACACTAGAATCCATATGGAGACCGTTGATAAACAAAGTATATTAAATCTAATTATACTAAAAGTTAAAAAAAAAAATATGTTAAAAATAAAATTTTTCAACTTTTAACGAGCTAAGTCATTAAGTGAAACAAGCCTTAGACGAGTTTTACAGTTTGATTTGTTTATCAATCGAGTTGAGCCGAGTTATCCTTCCTCAACTTTTTGAGCGGAATATACGAACGACAGGTCTTGTTTATCAGCCCTACACTACACAACCCTAAGCTATAGGCACGCTTAGTTCGTTTTTCTTACGACAATATGTAATATACTAATATGTCAACAAAATCTTTTTTTTTTTTTTTTAAACATTACTTTGTCGTAAGTCATTCCTATTTTTAAAGCACATCTCTTCCTTTTCTTCATATATGTATAGTTCATAGTTGTGCCTTCAACATTTTCTCTGTTTTTATTTCTTGAAATGGAAGATATATAATAAAGTTGGAGATGAATTTTCAATATAAGTAAGGATGTTGTCCTATATTTGAATGATTCTTTTATTAATATGCTCATTTTATTATATTAAACATAAAAAAAAATAAGCAAAATTTTGTTCAATTTCTAATGGCCGTTTTTTTCCTCAAATTATTCGAGCATGTTTGTTTATTGAAATTTTCGGTTTTGTTTGGATTTTTTTATTTGGTTTGGTTAATTTTAAAAAAGGTTGTATGGTTAGTTGTTAGTGAGTATATTAAAATATTATTTAAAATAAAATAATTAAAATACTTTGATGAAAAAGTAGAAGAAGAATGGTTTGATGTGATGGTTAGTTAAAATAATGTTAGTGAATTAAGAGCTTCTCCAGCGCAACGCTAGATAAGGCGTTTTGCGCTGGAGTAGAGATGAAATCTGCTTCAATGCTGCGCCGGAATTTAACGCCAGATGAGAGGAATGAATAGTGGCGCAACACTATTCATCGACGCTACAATTTTTTTATTTTGTTTATGCCCTAAACCATATATGGTCTAGACCATATATGGTTAAATTATGTTAAATAAAAATAAATAAAATATATTTTTATTAGTTGAGTAATTAACATTTTATATAAGATTAAATATACATATATACCAATTTATTTGAAATGAAAAATGAATAAAAAATAATATATTTAATGTAGAGTAAAATGTAGAGATAAGGGCTGGAGATGAATGTTCAACTCTACTCTAGAGTAGATAGAGTAGAGTAAAGTCCGCGTTAGAGTAGAGATAAGAGCTGGAGATGGCCTAAGGTTGATGTGGTGTGTATGAATGATTGATTGATATTATTTAATTATATTGATAATATTGATGATAGTGGGGGTGAGTTAAAGTTAAACTAAAAAAAATGGTTGAGTTAAAATGTTCAAGTTTTTGAAAAATTTTCATAAACAAACATGCTTTCAACTTTCACATATGTAATAAAATATTAATAGGTTATATTTATCAATTGACAAGGCATTATTATTCACTCTTCTTCACTTTACTTTCATTTACTTAGAAAGTTCCATGTCTGTAATTTATTTATAGCACTTCTTTATAAAATTTCCCAAAAAGAAAAAAAAAAAAAAAAACTTTAATCCACACTCAATCTAACTCAACTCTCACTATCCTCAGTATTATCAATATAATTAAATAATATCAATCAATCATTTTTACAAATCAAATCAAATTTAATTCACTGTTCATATATTTATGTATACTCTTCGTTGAGTTTAGATTTCATGTTCCACTTTTATGTTCCGTTGGATGATTGACATGTGTACAAATATGACATCATCATTTACACGTGTCATTCATCCAACAGGTTGGAACATGAAAGTGGAGTAGGAGATCCACTTTCATAGTTTCATGTTTCATTTCGTTGGATGATTAATGACATCATCATTTACACGTGTCATTCATCCAACAGGTTGGAACATGAAAGTGGAGCAGGAAATCCACTTTCACAGTTTCATGTTTCATTTCCTTGGATGATTGACATGCGTACAAATATAACATCATCATTTACACATGTCATTCATCCAACAGGTTGGAACATGAAAGTGGAGCAGGAGATCCGCTTTCATAGTTTCATGTTTCATTTCGTTGGATGATTGACATGTGTACAAATATGACATCATCATTTACACGTGTCATTCATTCAACAGGTTAAAACATAAAAGTAGAACATTTCGTTAAATGATTGACATATGTACAAATATGACATTATCATTTACACGTGTCATTCATCCATCAGGTTGGAACATGAAAGTGGAGCAGGAAATCTCATTCCCTCTTTAGTGACACTCTATGTATAGCTCTATATATGCAATCTTTAGTTGGTCAAATCAAGTCTCATGAAACTCTATATGCCAATCTTTAATCAGTCATCAATATAGTCAAATCAACTCTCATGAAATAGAGATTTTACTGAACTGTGTGGTGGTGTATAACTGAGAAGAAACAAGAAGAAAAAGGGATTTTGATCAGACCAAAAAATTATCAAACTCATCATCCCTCACTCTATTGACAACTTCTAATTCTGCATCACATAATGTCCTATAACAATTATACTCAAACAGAAGCACAAAACAAAACTGTTACCACCTCAGAAACTTGTACCAGTAACCCAACTTTATACTCAAAACAATGTCAAAGTAACCCAAAAATACAGAAATAAAAATAGTAAAAAAGTATAAATCTGAAAAAAGAAAAGGGCATAAACATCAAAGCATCTATAATCCAAGAACTGCCTTTTTTTTTTACTTCATCTGCTATCTCATCATATCCCACCCCCCCAGTTAAAATAAAAATAAAAAAAAAAAAAAAAAAAAAAAAAAAAAAAACACTTTACCAGAATGCAAAGAATGGCTCAATGTGTGTATCGCCAATAATCGACAGGCTCGGACTGCACCAGCCGGTGTACATAAAGACCGAATCTTTGTAACTTCAACCTCAAAAGCCATCATCACCTTACCACAACTTTTTGAACCTCTAACAAGGTATATCTTAATCGCCATGAACTCTCAAACACCATTCTGCACATTACGGTTCCCACTGCCAGACGCGCCATTTCCATCACGTTTGAACCTCGAACCCCCCACAGAACCCCTCAAAAGCCCGTTCGACCCAGCCCCGGTTCTCACACGCCTAGTGGGCCTCCACACAAAGCCCTCCTCATCCGGGCCGTCGATTATTCCCTTCCTCTTCCGATCCGCCGCCAGCTCATCAACCAGATTCTCCAGTGCCTTGGCCGACCACTGGAGGCCCCTTCTACTCTGTCTCACGACATTTGTATTCACATCAAAGTCCTCCTGCTCCTCTGCCTCTTCTATCGGCGGCTCGTTCAGGTCAAATGGCAAAGGACAGCGTGAATTCTCCACTGGGCCGCCGCCAGTGGGACCCGCCGTTCCTTCCTGGATATCACAATTCGGGCTCGACGGCACGGGCCCACTCTCCATTCCGAAGCCCATCAGAACTCGGCCCGGACTCGGATGGCAAATCACGTCTCCTCCCGTCTCTTCACGTTTTCTCACTGGAGCCGCCGCCTTACGGCGGGCCCCACCTCGGATTTTCTTCCCCTTCCGGATCCTTCCGGATTTATTCCCATCCTTTGGTGTTGTTGGTGTTGGGCCTTCTTCTTCCTTTTTCTCCGAACCAGGTTGGCCATCGCTCGGGACATTCACATTGTCCAAACTCGGTTCATTATCATCATCATCATCAATCGGGCCCTTCCCATTCTCCAATCCGGGCCCACCATTTTCCTCTTCGCACGGCAGGTATCTCACGTCTCGTAGATTCCCGCCAGGACACGTGTCGACCACTGTGTACTTCACGGCATGCAAGCTACGGTTTTGGGCCCTCGGCTGCAGATAAAACCCCTGCCGCCCTTCCTCGTCATCCCTTTCCTCTCGGGCCACAACAGCCGGCCCGTTATTGTTCCTGTTCTCGTCGTCATTATCCGAGCCGAGAAGAATGAGGCTGGGCTCCCTCGAGACCCGGCCCAAAACATCAGTGGACGAGGTAAAGTAGTGGTCTCCCTTCACACACTCGTCACTCGGGAGATTATCGGAGCCTGGCGTGAGGTAGATAACGGAATAGTCCAGCCCACTGAAAACATCGCCTTTACCGTACGCAACTTTCTTGGTAGCCCAGCCTCGTTCGAGCAGGCGTGGCCAGACAGCCTCCCAGAAAAGCTCGTGTGACCGGGCTTTGCTCAGGCGGCAGTCTCCATTCAAGATTTCGATGATTTCAGATGGTGTGAGAGACGAGCACTTCTTGCGTGAGGGTACCTGCGTATGGGCCTGAGTCGTGTTGTTTGAGCCCGAAGGCTCCAAGGCCATTCTAGTGATGTCCTTCTTGCCTTTGCCCACGGCAATGGCTTCAGCGAGAGCTGTTATCCCGACCATGGACTTTAGAGACGAGAGATAGCTTGATAGGCTCGACTTCTCGTCCGAAAATGTCTTGGAGACCTTGTACATTGTTAAGGAAAAGAAAAAGAATTAAGTTGACAATATAAAGTGAGAGAAACATCATTTTTCGATAGTATTTGTCAAACAAGCCGACAGAACTTGTTCGCACTAATACTGTCATGTTTTTCTCTGTGTATGAGGCTATAGGAGATGGTGCTAAAATAGTGCATTGTTTTCGTTTTGGGCTTAAAGCTTGAATCTTTTTTCTTCATTATATTCATTGTAAAATAGTAATACACACAAAGATTCACGATTATATCTGTAGGGAATTACTTTCGTAAATCTTTCAAGTACAGGATAGCAGTTAAAGAAAAAAGAAGAAGAATAAGAAGAAAAACTTGATGCTGTCATGTTTCTCTCTATGTATGAGGATATTGGAAATGGTGCCAAAATAGTGCATATTTGTTTTTTGGGAGGCTTAAAGCTTCAATCTTTTTTCTCCATCAAATTCATTGTAAAATAGTAATACACACAAAGATTCACAGGTATATCTGTAGCAGAATAGCAGTTAATTTGAACAACGTAAGTTTCAACTAAATTTAACGAGTACCTCGAGTAAGGCGCTTTTACATTCATCTGGCACTCTAGCAACTAGCCGAGATATTAATTCCTGTTGCCTTAATCCAGAAAAAATCCTCTGCCCCAACACGTACCTCTTCCTGCCCTTTGCCGTTCTACGTTCGGACCATCTAAAATATTCTTTCGAACGGTAAAACTCTCCGTAGTAGTAAGCCATTACATCCCCTGGGTTCTTGGTTTCCACAAAATGCCCAAGATGCACAAAATTTTTCTCAAATATGTGCAAACCCAGAACAAAGCTGGCTTTCTCAGCATCACTCCAAATTTGTTCGGTTATTCCAGGCACTATTTCACCACAAAATTTCTTCTGCATTCTTTCCTCTTCAGCCCGTGAATCCTCTTCGGGCGTCACTGTGTCTTGTACACTGTCGGTCAAAGTCATCTCGGAATTTGTATCCGGGCCATTGTTATTCATCCACGTTAATGGTATGGGCAGCCCAATTATGACATGCTTTGGATGTGTATCTCCATAATATGTGGACTTATACATGTAATTCGACCTTTTATTTATGGAAGGAAGCTCGGCTTGATGTTCATTTCCAATCCGTGGACTACTATTTGGCTCGCCAAACACGTCACTCTCGGGCATAAGCATCTCGGCGGGAATGTTATCAATACAACCTCTAGGTGAATATGAAGTTGAAGCCATCTGCAAAAGAAACCGAAATTTGCGCCTTTTACTTGCACGTGCAAATATAAGAGAATTGTAATCGAAAACTTTGCTAAATCTGTAATAACCGTGAAAATTAGTGTTTTTTTGTTTTTTTTACTATGTGAAGATAGACTTTGAACCAAAGCACGGTGAGTTGGAAGCTAAACAACAACAATGCAAAAACACATACGAAATAAAATCAAGGTGCAAACATTTATAACTAACATAAGATCACACAAATACACATGCTGCTTTCCAGACAGAACGCTATATTACAACTTACTTTATATCGAGAAAAAGGGAAAGAGTAGACGGGTTTCTTGATGAGTAAACTCAACCAATCCTCGTTCTTCAGAAAATGCGGGCTGGATTTCCAGTTTCAGTCGCAACACAGATGCTTATAGTTCTTTCCTATGTATCTATGATCACCTGATCATAAGCAATAAAATAAAAGTTCATTGGTGCATAATAGCAAACGGGATAGCTACCGGCCGGAATAAGAGAATCGGCAGTGCAAAGCATCAAAGAAATGCCCTTTTCTAAAATTTGCACAGTATCTACACAAAGTCCCCAGAACAACTCAAGGGATTAACAACAATGCAAAACAGTTCAAACCACAACAGTCAAGAATCTTTCTTTTTTTCGAAAAATGAAGCTTAGAAAAATCAAATCCAATTGAAAACAAAATCAGAATCAAGTCATCGAATATCAATTACAAGAAACAACATGTCCCATTTTCTTGTATAAAAAATGAACACATTTCATCACAACAAACAATACTTTTTATCACAAGACAAGGAACAACAACAAAACCGCCTATTTATAACAAACCCAACAACAAACCTGCTCAATACAAATCCTAAATCAAACAATACACATCAAAAGTTCCTGTCTTTACCAATCTTTCATACCAAAAGCCCGAAAATACATATAAAAAATAACAATGCACAAAAAAAAAAAAAAAAAAATCATGCAAAAAAGATTCGAACTTCAAAGAAAACCCACAACCATTTTCAAGATTCCAATGTGATCCCACAAAATTAAACTTCTTACCAGACTGAAAACACATGTACTCATCAAATTTCTTGAGCAAAAAAAACCAAATAACACTTGGTTCAAAAATTTATAACATCTCTTACACATGTTCATACTCAAGAAATAGGCCCAAATATGAAATTTTGCATGTAAAATACAAGGAAAAAAAAAAAGAAAAAAGAAAAATAAATGTCCGAGGTGGGCTGGGTTTAAATGGGAGGTTAAGGCACAAAAGAAAAGGAAAAAAAAAAAAAGGGAGAAATACGGGACAACGAAGCATATAAATACACGTACAACTAAATAATAAAAATACAGTAAGTCAATAATAGTGTGTGTATATATATTTATGCACATAAAAGTTGTATGTATACACCTGTTTTCTTGAGCAGAGTTTTCATGGGGATTGAATCGAAGTGAGAGAGAGAGAGAGAGAGAGAGAGATTTGCTTGTTTTTCTTTTATTTTTAAATTCTTGTTTTTTTTTTAAATAATTTATAGTAATGAATTTTGAGAGAGAGAGAGAGATAGAAAAAGAGTGAAGAAAGAGGACAAATTAAAGAAAGTAAAAAGGCTCGAAGCTCCACCGGGCGGAGAAGGCGCGTGGAATGACGCGCGAATAAAAATTATATTTTCAAATATGTGAAATTAGGATGAGATTAAGCGGTTTTATAAATCGGACCGGTCATCGAATCAGTTATACGATTGGTGATGATTTATTGATTAAACAAGTGATTGAACTTGATTAAGCATGTTATTTAATTTATTAATATATTTATTAATATATTTAAATACATATTGTATTTTTAGAATTCAATTTTACATATAAAAATATTATTTATTTACTTTTTTTGATAATTTGAAACAATCAATTGTCTTCATATGATAGTTATATACATATTCAATACATAAATATATATATATAATTTTTATTTATATTAAAAATGTAAAAACTAATATTTATATGTGAAAAAACAAGAACCCTTCTGACCTGCAATTTTGACCGGTTCGATCGGTTCTTTCACAACCGACTTTTTTAAGAAAACCGATCAGAGAACGGTTCTCATAAATAAAAACACACACACACACACAAATATATATATATATATATATATATATCGTTTTTTTT